GTTCATCCTGCCCACTGGGAGCACAGAACCAGTGTGTCTCATTCAGAGAGTGTGGTGTTCATTTAAAGTGCCAAAACGCCACTATGAGACAAAACACAAAGTGTTTGACCAAACATTCCCTCTCAAGTCAGAACTGAGGTCACACAAAATAAGCATTCTCAGAGCCCGATATGATCAGTCCACCAGGATCAAAATTGAAACTAAATATCGTTCCAGGGCAGGCTAACCGAGGCTAACCAATGAGCACCTGCATGTGTATGAGAATGGCCCTGACTCCATTTCAGCCCAGATTTAAACTCCTGGCAGGACAAGCTCCAGCTCAATTCTCGCACTGAATTAAAACAAAGTGAATGAAGGACTGCAATATAAGAGGGAAAGAAAGAGAAACTTTAAAACTGTTCAATTGTTATGATGTGTAAAGACTGATATTGTTCTATAATCGTCTGAAACTGTTAAGTCATGATGTGAAACGATTAACAAAGAAAAAGGGAAACTCAAGCTGCAGCTACACTTTATTTTATTTATCTAAAATGAAGCACTTTTAAGATGCACATATTTTTAAAAGCTATTTTATTTATTTTCTCTATTTTATTTTTAAATGCAGCCCGAGAGGAACATTACACATATCCACAGCATTTACTGTATATCTGTAGAGTTCAATGTTAATTGACAATAAATATTGTTGTTTGAATTGTACTTTCTTTATTTGATTGGCAGTCAGTTGTTGATTACATGCAGACGTTGATAAAGCTACAGGCTACTTCAATATTTATCACACTAATTCATGAAGCAAGTTAGACACTTTGATGTTCCGGACCTTTGCATGGGGACATTTTCTCTAACTGGACCTCGTTGCATTTTAGTTGAATACCCCTGAAATACATCATCCTTTAAGGACTGGAGAAATGCTATCCAGTCTATCCGCTCCCAACGTTTTCTGGGACTTTTCTGATTCACTATTTGCTGATGTCAACCATCAAAGAAGCATTCTCATTAGAGAACCATGTAGTCCAGCAGGAGATTGACAACTACTTCTCATAATGAGTTATTAGCAGATGGGCTATTTTCGACAGCAGAGAAGATTAGTAATCACAGGTCACATCTTCAGCTTCTCTCGAAGGCTATGTAGAGCTGATTATGTAGAATGATACCAAAACTGTCCAATCAGTGAGCTACCTGTGAGGTAATGTGACTTCATGATTACACCTTTTGGCATGTTAATGTTAAAGTGAGTGTGAACAACAGACAGAACCGAGCAACAAGATACCAATGGATCTTTTGACTTGGTATGGACTTCCACTGAAGCAGAGGTGTGAGAGTGACTTTATGAGTTTCTACATTTTGGGATTTCTGCAGTAAATGACTGACGTCTGTTCACGACCAAATTATTGGACCAAATATTTGTTATCATTTTCGTGATTTCTCCTGGCTGCTGCTCAGGCTGAATCATCAGCTGTAGAAATGATCTTGGCAAACAGAACATTTCAACAAGCGACAGAGTACTGGAGACTCCATCAAATAAAAAAATGGTTACCTGGCCATGTCCTTGGTCTCCGGATGTGAGCTTTCCAGTTCCAGAACTTTCTCTAGAAGACTTATTCCTCCCTCCTTTATCAGCAGGGGACAATACTTGCTTGCTGTAGAAATAATTGTAAATAAAGAGACAGTGAGAATGATTACAGGGTCTTAATGTATACAGCACAATTGAGGTGTACAACGTGCTAACCTATAATGTTAATAGTTTACTTTGTTTACATTTTGGTAGATGTGGGCTGGCCTATCAAAGTAAACTGACTTCAATTATTATATTCTATTTGCTAATCTGTATATTAATATTGTATATTCAATAGAGGTATACATCTTTCCCTGTTGATATGTAAATATCTACTTTTCTGTTTTGTTTATGTGTTACTGTTTGTACATATATATTTGCTGTTTATTTATATTTTATTTGTTATTCATGTGCAATACTTGTCTACATGCTGCTGTGACAAAATCATTTCCCAAATTGGGATCAGTATATTATCTCGTCTTTATAAGAAGTACCTGGTGACATGTGAAAGAGAAATGATAATGTTAGAAAAGGACGCAAGTTAAAAACTAGCTAGGGGCACGTCAAACAGCCCAGCTCTAACTGTGAGCGCGGTGTAGGAGGAACTCACGGTAAACTGACACCAGGTTGTAGAGGGCCCAGGTGGCCCAGTGCTGACTGACGGGGGCGATGCTCTGAGGTAGAAGGCGCAGGATGGGCTCGAACGACCTGAGGGACCACAGTCACTTTAAACATTTCAAAAGGAGGGAATCCCCCCCAGCTGTTCTGTACAGCTTAACCTGTATCCTGAGACCCTTAACTCAGGATACACTGACATTCTGTTACTTAGTTCTGAATCCAACGGATAACAAGTAACGAGATTACGTTATCAGGATACAAAAAAAGGGAAGTGTATTATTCCATTACAATTACATTAAATAAAACAAGTAATCAGATTACTGTTCCATTTAAAAAGATATAGATTACTAGCAGGATTTCAGTGTTACAAGATATTTTTAAATAAAGATGGATATATTATAGGTAGAGGTAATGAATTCATTTTCTTTATGGTTTATATTAAGGCTAATTTAATTCTTCTTTATTCTAAATACATGTCTTTATTAATGCAGTAGGTGGACACCTGATTTATTAAACAAAAATAAAATGTCTATGCTTTTGATGTATTCATCTTAAACATTGGTAAACTATTACTATTAGTTATAAAATATCTTGAATTCTTCTTTTCTAAGGTTACATTGTTACATACACTTCAGTAAAAAAAATATTATTATTTTATTTATTTTTCCTCATCAAATGGAATCCAAAAGTAACTGAAATAATCAGGTTAAATTACTTTTACGTATATTTTGAAACTCAAATAAGGTTTCTGATGAATGTATTTAGTCATGGTAACTGAATACATTTTGAAAGTAACCCTCCCACCTCTGGTAAAATACTTATTTAAAAAAATCTCTGAGTCTTTTTTGACCTACTGCTTCCAACCTGAATTTCAGAGGTGCCACAGTATCCATACTACAGTGAAACTGCTGATGAAGCAAGAACTGCCCGTAACATGATGCATTGTCACAGTAAATAAACAGATGATCACCTGTAGTTGATGTTGCGGCGTGAGCTGACGTCCCAGCTCTGGATGGCGTCCATCATCTTGTCCATCACTGAGTCTCTGCGCGGATCCTCCATGGACCAAACGGCCGGGCCGTCAAACATGATGTGTGAGAGCACGCCGCAGGCATTGTAGGACACCTCGATCCCATCCGCCTTACTGTCCAGCAGGTTACTGTCAGAGCATCACACAGTGAGGGGGACTGATACAAACAACACGTATCTGGTGAGGTCTGTAAAAAACGTACCCTCACAAACATTTACCCTGAAGGACTTCATTCAGTTAGTTTATTAGTTTGTCTGTGCCTTCTGAGCTTTGTTTTGTATGATAATTGTGTTTGATACTGTATATATACAGGACTGTCTCAGAAAATTAGAATATTGTGATAAAGTTCTTTATTTTCTGTAATGCAATTAAAAAAACAAAAATGTCATACATTCTGGATTCATTACAAATCAACTGAAATATTGCAAGCCTTTTATTATTTTAATATTGCTGATTATGGCATACAGCTTAAGAAAACTCAAAAATCCTATCTCAAAAAATTAGAATAGTTCCTCAGACCAAGTAAAAAAAAAAGATTTATAACAGCAAAACACAATCAAACATTTGAAAATGTCCATTAATGCACTCAGTACTTGGTTGGGAATCCTTTTGCACGGATTACTGCATCAATGCGGCGTGGCATGGAGGCAATCAGCCTGTGGCATTGCTGAGGTGTTATGGATGCCCAGGATGCTTCAATAGCGGCCTTTAGCTCATTAGCATTGTTGGGTCTGGTGTCTTTCAGCTTCTTCTTCACAATACCCCACATATTCTCTATGGGGTTCAGGTCAGGGGAATTTGCAGGCCAATCGAGGACAGTAATGCCATGGTCAGTACACCAGTT